GGGGAAGAACGAACGAAAGCCAAGTGGGCGAAAATGGTCGGTAGATACTGTCAGTGTTGATCCTATGAGGAAAGCGTTTCAGGTCAAACGTGGCATCAGTAGTTTCATTCGCGAACAACCGGATAAATTCCACCGCCGTGCTCGGCGAGGCATCCCAGCGGAATATCGGTGGACGGTGTGGAAGGCCTGTGTGTCCCATGATGAACGGTTCGTTCGTAACGTATATTGGAAACTCACGGGACTGGGCTCTGAGAATGAGCAGTGGGGAAGAGCCATAAAAATCGATGTACGATTTCAGACATCTCACTGAGCGTCTTGGCCACTTCCCCTCCAGGTGCCGAGAACCTTTCCGAGAGACCAAGCAGCTCGGAATGGCTCTCAGATGTCGGAGGTAGTCTATGGCATTGTGGGTGAAACCTCCAAACCTATAGTTTCCATGAGGAGTTATTTGGATCGCATAAACGAGTCGTGGACATCTGGTTGAAAGCCCGTATTGTGAATTTGAAAGCATCGCGTGAGCATTGTATTTTCAGGCTCACTTGAAGTCTCTGTATCGTATCCTGGTGGCCTATGCCAACCTCAATCCGGATGTAGGCTACTGTCAAGGGATGAACTTCGTGGCAGGCTTGCTTTTGCTGGTCAGTGGAGAGGTCCCGGGTTCGATTCCTGCATCTGTCATTTTATATTCAGGTCGCATGTCCTGATAGGGACACTCCGCCCTCCCCAGTCGAAGAGGTAAGCCTCCATCAGCTATGCGTGCGTCATGTATCGCCCTCAGGAGGAGGCCTTTTGGGTTTTTGTTTGCCTCATGGAATACGATGGTCTCGCTGGATTCTATCGCGAGAACTTCCCACTGCTGGGTAAGGCTATTCTATCGAATTCTTATTTATCAACGTTGAATCGACATCGTTTAGTAGGGGCACCGTTTGTGACGAATATGCTCGCTGCGGGGATCGAACTAGGGGTCTGTGGAATAGCAAACCAGCTACTTTCCCATTGGACTACGAATCTATTGGTTTATGTAGGTCGATATACTCATGCGTTCGATGAGCTTCTCGCTCGGGAGCTACCCGACCTGCGAGATCACTTCACAGAAGAGGGTGTCCAACCAACTCTGTACATTCATCAGTGGTGAGCTTAGATTCATCGCAGCCGGACCCTCCTAGGTTTTGCTAAGGTACCTGTCGTTATTCATAAACTGCCTACCACTCCAAACGGTAATTTTCCTCGAGCCTTTGAGAGTCATAGTGGGCCCTTCTTAGGTATTCGTTTTGTGGGATGTTATAGTCAGTGATGGCCTACCGATCATTCTCAGTATATCTATTGCATTGTTGAAGGTGACTGGACAAACACTAAGAACCTCCTGAGAAACACTGCTCCATCAGGTCCTCCGTCCGGCTCTGATGCAGATGGAATTCGAGGATATCGTAAGATTCTTCAAAACGATGAAGACAGGTAGGACCAAATGAGATAGAAGGGCATTCGTCATTGGGTCCATTTAGGCGACGAGAAGTGCGATGCAACAGTGATAGGCCAACTACTAGTGCGGCTATCTGGGAAGGTGGAGATCCCTGACTCCATTCTAGAATCGCTTCATTTACCATACGACTGTCAAGATCCTAGGAATGTCGAACCCCTGGGCTTGCCTCCGGGACCTAGGAGTCTCGAATTAGATCGGCCTCTGGACGGACTCGATAGTGATGGCATCAAACCCGTCGCGGGTGTTGCACAATGGTTGAAGAGAGTGTCAGCACAGATTGACGCGAGTTGGAGCGAGCTCAAAGGCGGCCTTGCGGGAGCAGCCTCTTCAAGTGACGAGCGATTGTCGTCTGATGATGCCTCGTGAGAACCCGATGTTCAGCTGCTAAAATGTTAACATTGATGATCTATATTTAACCAGGCT